GAGCACCTTCTCCTGGTCCAGGGCACCTTCTCCTGGTCCCGGGCACCTTCTCCTGGTCCTGGGCACCTTCTCCTGGTCCTGGGCACCTTCTCCTGGTCCCGGGCACCTTCTCCTGGTCCCGGGCATGCTTCTCCTGGCCTCTCTGGCTTCTTTCTCTCTCTCTGATGAGTGCACGTGCCCTATTCAGGACTCTTTGGTAATTTTGTCATTTTCCTTGACGAGGAAATGGGAATGTTTCAGAGCAGGTCTGTCTTCACAACACAGGGATATCTGATGCGGTTAATCAGTATAGAAAATACCATCTTAACCTCTCTGTGGTGAATGTATGCTTTATTGAGACGCGTGAGAATGAACTATTTAATGAACTAGAATCACGTCTGAGCCTCCCTGCCGCTGCTCCCAGCTACGACCTGTCTTAGTTAATGTGCACCTGACCCCGTCACTAGAGAACTTGGCTTCCTTTTATTTCCTGATGACGAAGTGTCCCTGTCCCAACACGTTACGGAGTTCCATGCCCTTCAGCTCGTGTTCGCTTCTGCAGCATGCAGTCCCCAGCCCCCGCTGAGCAGAGGTGCTGAGCCGCTCGGCCCGACAGAGGAGGCGTGGAAGAAGCACCCTATTCAAACCAGGGCCTCCCGGAGAGAACATTAACGACGTTGGGATTTTTTGAGTGGCTGGTGTGAGGAGAAGCCTAAGCCTTTAGTCAGGGCCAGGCCTGGGCGACCTAGCAGCCACGTGACATGCGGCCTGCTCGCGAACACCAGCACGAGGTGAGACTCGTGAGCACCTGCTGGCCTGCCCGAGTGCCCGTCTGTCTCAGCCTGGGCTTCGTCACGGTGAGCCATGCTGAGACTGAGAAATCACAGACTGCGCAGGAACACGCAAGGGCAGGAAGACGGAGGCCCCGTGTTATCACGCACATCACAGTTAAAGCCTGAGTATGCTAAACACGTGTGGCATGTATGGAAGCAGAGGGCTTGTCCTGGACCTGAAGACCCACCATGGTAGACTGAAATGCTTTTCCTTAGAAAGTCTTATGTTCAAGTACGAATCTCAGGAACCCAGAAGTCGGCCATATTAGAAGAAAGCAGTCTTCACTGAGATAACTGATTTAAAATAAGGTCTTTGGCATGGGTCCTAACCCCACATGACTGGTGGCCTCATGAAAAGAAGACATTTTTTGCCAGCAGGTGGCATGGGGGTGAAGGTACTGGCTCCAACATGGTCAGCCATGCCAGGCGTGCGTGTGTGCATGCCCCAAACCCCAAGAAAAGGGAGGCGAAGGCTCTGCAGGATGGCCACCCCTCACCCACTGCGGGGTGACTTCTCATCTTCCCTCTCTGCTTCTCTCTGGTGAGTGTACTTGCGCTGTGGCAAAATGGCAAAAAGCTAAAGAAACACTAAAAAAGGAAGAAGAAGGAATTGGCCACAAATCCTACAGAAGAAACGCAGTGAGGAGACAGGGCGGAGCCGGAGCCAGCCTAGGAAGCCAGCTGCCAGCCCCTCAGCGTCAGACTCTAGATGGGAGACCCTCGAGGGGAGGACCCTCCACTGGAAGGCCACCGGCCCGCAGCTCTGTGACAGGGCCCCATGAAGACTGCAGCCAGGCCAGTGGTGGAGAGCGGCTGCTTCTCTCTCCGACAGCCCCGTTTCGGGAAGGGTGACTTGTGTCCACCTGCGCACTGTGGCTGGGTAAAACCCCGTCCAGAAAGTCGCTGCTGTCACAGCTGTGTCACACCTCTGCACCCACCAGGAATTCGAGCTTGGTCACTGCGTGGCCCGCTCCCACATGGCCATCCCTGCAGGAACTCTGACACGCCTCAGGGCTGAGGACCCAGAGCCAGGGCTGGGAGGCTGCCATGCAGTGAGGGTGGCTCACCTGGGGCTTCCTAATGCAGGGTTAAAGTCACTCCTGTGCCTCCACCCTGGGCTTCCACCCTGGGCCTTCTCCCTGGGCCTCCATCAGCGTAAGGAGCCCAGCTGGGAGGACAGCTCAGGCCCACCTCAGCCCCCACGCCCTCCCAGGCTTGCACAGTGCAGACGTGTGGAGTTCACAACACGGCCAAATGAGTGGCACTGCCGTGTGGACGCGGGAGAGGTCACATGCTCTGTCTTGGCGCAGGACATGCTGTGGTCCCCACATAGGCCTATCAGCCCTTCCAAACCCGCCCCACTACTGCCGTGATCCTCCCAGGACCGAAGCCACGCGAGAGCCAGGAGGACCCCGAGACTCTGAGTCTGTACTGTAAGGTGTGCAGTCTGCACCAGCTCGGCGAAACACCCAGGGACGTTGACCCAGGAGGGAGGAGCAGTCGCAGTGCCATGCTTCCCAGCGCAGGGCAGTCCACGCGCTAACTGTCCTGTGAGAGGAGGAGGTGCGGGGCGGGTGTGGACGTGCGACCCTGGATCAGACACAGTCGGGGAAAGACGAGGGGCAGGGTGGTGCCAGGACAGAAGCGCGTGGGGAAGTGTCCGATGCCGTCCGGCCCACCCATGGAGCCTGCCGCGGTGTCTGCCAGCACAGTCCAGCCCCACCCGGTTCATTTTTAGCAGTTGTATAGCCGACATCTCTAAAAACCAGTTAAACGCCTTCCTGGCCTCTCCAGGGAGCCTGCCCGGCCTGGTTCTCTACCTAGACCCCAAGGGCACCGGGATTTCTTCACGGCGCCGGCACCGTCAGAGGAGTCAGAAAGCACAGAAACGGGTGGAAGAGGCCAACTCGAAACAGAGCACAGTCTCTGGGCACAATTTCAGTCGGGCTTCAGTTTTCACAGCAAACAGCGAGCTCTAGGCCTGGCTTGAGTGGCTGTCTCTCGGCCACAGCCTGCAGATGTGCAAGGAAGGGTCCTTCACCAGGGCCAGCCGGGCCCACTCCTGCCCGGCCGCTGCAGCCAGCGTCGCCCTGCCATTAGACTGGCAGGTACAGGGTCACCACGCAGCCAGGTACCACTCAGCCTCGCGCCTTCGTCCGCACTCAGTCACCCGGTCAGTCTCCCACGGCGTGGCGTGCGGCGCACCTCGCCCCGCCCTGCCGCCCTGTCCCCGCCCGACCCGCCTTTCCCGGTCGCAGGGACTCACCGGCAGTGCTTATGGGACCCGGTGAGGGTCTCGATCACGAAGCACTCGCCGTCGTTCAGGCAGTACGCGAGGTCCTTGTCTCGGCACGGCTTGAAGTGCTCGGACCGCTCCGTGGAGTAGGTCGTGGTGTCTGTGGGCGAGAACAGAGGGACACGTCAGGGGCAGGACACGTCAGGGGCAGGACACGTCGGGGGCGGGACACAGCGCCTGTCTCGGGCCTGCGACCCCATGGGAGTGGACCGATGGCCGCCGGTTCCAGCCACTGCCTGCCCGCTCTCCGCCATCCTACCCGGAGTCACCCAGGAGGCAGGCTGGCCATGGCAGTCACAGCCCACCGAGGACCCAAGTGAACCCACGCACCCTCTTCTGGCAACCTCAGCTTTAAGCGTCGCGCCGCGGGGAGGCCTGGGCCCACAGCCCTTCCCTTACCCTGGCCCGGCACCAGTGCCTGTCCATGTCCATCTGCCTGTTCTGTGGAAACCACTGTCAGGGCTTGGGCTTTCTAGGTCCCAGCTGAAACTGGCTAACAGTAGCCGATGCTTCTTTCACTGTCCCCTCACTCTGTACTTCCCACGCCAACCACGTCGCGAATTCTCAGTCAGACGCTGAGACGTGAGCAGTGTTTCTGGTAAATATTTAACAGGACCAAATTATTGTCATTTTTTACCATTACCTTAAACATGTACTTTTAAACTTCCGACTACTTAGGTTTTTAAATATTTTTAAAACATGTATTCTTTTCTCAGACCCAAGGCTGACCCTAAGTACAGCTAGCCCTGGGCTGCCACAGGACCACAGACTCTGTCCTCACAGCCGAGCTCAGAGCGGCTGGAACGCTGGCATGTCCCCACAAGTACGCAGACACGAGGATCGCATGACCCACAACCCATGCTCTGCATGAGGTCACGGGCCCACGCGGCCGCCACAGCTTACCCCTCAGGTCACCTGCACTGTCCCACGCACTGGCCAGCCTGGGGGTGACCATGCCAGGGGACACTGGGAAAGCCCCGTGGACACCCTCTGGGGTAACCTGAGGTCCTCAGAGAGCAGAGAGGACAGGACCATCAAAACATTGCTTGTCTGGTCTCGTCTCAGAGCTCAAATACACAACTTAAATTCTAAATTAAAAAAAATATTTTCTTAAGAGTGACTTTTGCTATAGGTCATGTGCACCCTCTGGAGAGACAGAGAGCGACAGAGAGATAGAAAGCAAGAAATCACCCTTTGGGTGGATGGCCACACCACGATCCCTTCTCCTCCATTCTTCTCTTGGGCTCTTGGGCACACACGCATGCACACCCAGCATGGGTTTCAAGCCACCCACCGGGTCTGGGACTAGAACCACAGACAACCACGTGGGAGTCCAGTGACGTAACCATTATGCCATCTGCTGGTCCCAGTTCCTAACTCTTACTCTATTACTCCCCAGATCCAGGACTGTCCCCGCTCCTTCCCCTGGACCTCCTTCTCCTCTCCTCTGCACCTGCTCTCAGCTCTGCGGGCGTCGTTCAGGAGTGCCTGTCCCTCGAGGGCCCCAGGAAGTGCACGCTCTAACCACCCCACAGGGTCACGCTGAGCGTCAGAGATACGACCACTGAAGACCTGGGTTATAAGTTCACAAAGGTAACGGCTCTTTTTACAGCAAAATGTTAGATACAATTTCACATCTATGTTGCAATCTTACTATACTTGTTTAAAGTGTTTTTTATTATTATTTATTTGTTATTATTTTTAAATCTGATGCAGGGCAAATGCACTCAACAGAGACAGGCGGAGAGAGCGAGAAGGGGAGGAAGCAAGTTGCCAGGTTCGGGACTTGCATTGTGGTCAGCCATATGGGAGTCCAGCACCCCAATCACTGCCTTCCCTGCGGGCCCCAGTATTTGTGTTTAATATTGACAACTATTACAGAAACGCTGCTTCGGGTTCAGGACCGCACTCACAGGTTCACATCCACTGCCAGCACCGGAACGGCGTGGCGCTTACAGCAAGAACTCACTCTCCACTGGAAGCACCTGCCGGCTAATACCGCGGCACCAAGAAAGGCTCTGTGAAGCAGACCCCTTTCCACCAGGCCTCCGCCAGGAGCTCCCTCCACAGCGGGTCTGTAATTCCAGGTTATGTGATACCCGGTCACGTGGAATCGATCTCTCCTGCTATGGGAAATATTTAAAATTCACGGCTCTGAGCGCACACAGTTGGCTGCTGCTCTGCCGAGGTCGGGAGCTCACGGTCAGTCAGCCAACTTGGCCTAGGATTTCCTGTTAACCCTTTATTGACGTCCACTGATCACCCCTTGAAGGACAGCTTTTCGTTCACATAACCGACAGCATGAGGAGACAGGACTAATCGGTGCTTTTAACCAGCAGCAGACTCCAAGCCTAATGCAGTGCAAGCCAATTACAATCCATTCATTTCCATCCGAGGACTTCCGTCTGCGGCCGTCACCGGCCCTTGCCCTGGTTTCCTGCTCATCTCGACGAGCACTGACAAGGTCCTAGATGGTGGGATGGCTCTGTGACCGAGGGGAGGAGAGCCCGGAGACAGCAGGGTGAGCCCGCTCCTCGAGAGTGCTCTATTTCCAAGTTGAGAATCTCAAATTAGTTCAAATTACGCATGCTCCTCCCTCGCAATGATTTGATTGGTTTGAAGAAAACATCATGGTTAAATCTTTTTTTTTTTTTTTTT